TGGCGCTCGGTGCTGCCTCGCCCCTCGAGCGGCAGCGAGCTGCGGCAGGCGGGTGCCTGTCCGGATGAGCCCGCCGCGGCCCTCTCGTCCCACCGGGCGGGCCTTCCCAGACGAGACGGTGGGGAAAAGGGCACTGCCGTGCCGACTGGGTGTGAAGTCAGTTAGGCCGCTAGCGCTCACCTGCACGCGCCACCCTAGATACTCTGGGTTCCAGGGTAAATCCCATTTATCTCGGTGCACATCCTATGCCAGCCAAAGGGAATACCCGCTGTATTTAATTGCCGTCCCAGGATTTTTATAACTTAAAAATGCTTATCCTTTTCACTTTTGCCTTTCTCTTTTTGTCCGTTTGCCACCTTGCCCAAAGACAACGCGAGGCCTTGCCAGGAGTTAGGATTAGCACTTCAGAAAAATCCCCCTGCTCCTGCGGTGCGCCAGGCTTCCCTTCCCTCCCTCCAAGGCCCTCTTCCCTCTTGGAGGAAGGATCTGTGAAAAAGGCCATGTGAGAAAGCTCACGTGCAGTCTGGGTTCTGCCATCAGGGGGTTGATTTTGGCTCAGTGCAGGGCCAGATTGAGACAGCTGTAGCTAAGTGCTTTGCCAGGACACCCAGAAGGAAAGCTGCTCAGAAAGACAACAGACAGGAGCAGAGAGAAGAGCAGGAGAAGCAGGAGACGGCTCTTTCTGGGGCAGAGCGGAGGGCAGACGCCCCGTTCCCCAGCGAGGTACAGATGACCCACATCACACAAAGCATGCAGCAGCTCCGCCAGCGCCACGCGCCCTCAGGGATAGATACCAGGCCATCCCTGGAAAGCTTTGCTCACAGGTTTGAACCGACCTTCCCCTGCCCAGCCTTGGCAGTGATGAAGGCAGAGTGGAGGAAGGACTTGAGCAAAATAAGAGGGGCACCACCAAAAGGTGCTTGGGAAGCTGGCTTTCCTCTTCGCGTGGCCAAGGTCACTGGAATGAATACGTGCGTGTGTTATACACCCGAGAAATAAAAGAGAAGCAGCCTGGCTCAGAAGCCAAAGCACTATCTGAAGACTCGAGAGATCTTTGTACAGACTCCAGGTGGGACGCTAAGCACAGGCATCTCCTGCTGTGAGCAGCCTTGGCCTCCAGCTACGGAACCGAAAGAGTACAGGGTCTTCTGCAGAGCCTGTGTCACACGTGCCAGGCATGTGTGGATGGCTTGCGCTACCCGAAGGGGTCTCAAATGGCACTAGAGGCATGAGGTAACTCAGTCATGCCATCCCTGTCTGAGCTTGGGTGAGTCACGTTTCTCTGTGCCTCAGTTTCTCTGCATGTAAAATGGGAGTCGCCTGTCCCACAGAGGCAGCATCAAATAAACTGGAAAGCTATTTGTTAGGATGTTATGGGAAAGGGATGGGGGAGCACCATGTTTATGACTGGTTCATCATAAACTATGCAGCCATGAACAACTGCAGATTTGCCTGCCATACAAGCCATCCTGGTTTTGAGTCACGCTGCAGCCCACAGAGGCATTTGAGCAAGAGCAAGCTGCTGGTGAGCCAGTCTTCCTAAGGAGCCCTTTGTTTGACAGCATTGCTGAAAACGAGCATCCCCTCACTGACATCCTGGATTCGCCCAGAGGCCTGTCTCTTACCCCCTGCACCTGCCTCTTCGCTGAGATGGAGTCAAAGGAGGGATATCTGACCTACCTGCGCTGGTCAGCAGCTGGAACACTGTCCTCTTGGTTTCCCCCAACACTCCCTTCTGCATCAGTGGCTAAAGCTTCAGTTTTATCCCTTCTTGCCTCCATCCAAATTTCTGCTGCCTCCATTTAAACTCTCCCCTGAACATCTTGCCTAGCTGACTTTAACTGCTTTTCTGCACAGAACCTAACATTTCAGAGCTGATTTCACAGTTCTTAGTGGGGCAGAAATGTCATATGACAGAGAGATGACTGCCAAACGTCAGCCAGTTTTCACATCATGCATTGGCAGAACACAGAGATGCTCAGAGAGAGGAGACACAATATTCATTCTACCAGAAAAACTGGTGGTGTTGTCAGGGTGACCAGCGTCCTGGTCTAACCAGCTTTTCATTGTGCTCTCTTTTGTTTTATTCTACCATTTTGTTCTATGATAGGATTTTTTGTAAATGGGTACTCTGTGGTTGACAAGCTACTACAGGAAGTTAATGAAGTCCCAAGGTTTATAACCAGTGGCATCGGTGACATAGGAAGACGCTGACTGCATAGAAGAAAGAACCTGAGTGTCCAGCCCAAAAACACTGTAGCTGAAGGGAAACCCCTTGAATTAATGTCTGTAGTAGTTGGACTTCACAGTATGTCCTGACAGACTGAACTGAACTGAAGAAAGATGTAGCCAGGAGCTTTGAACAGATACTTGAGATTTTTCAGTAGTAAGTAACTAAATGTTCTTACTTGAAATCCCTGTCAGACGTGGCTGAGGCAGCTGGAAAGAAGATCCTTCAGCTGTCCATCTCGCCTGCGGACATTAACATCCCCTTGACAGAGGAAGGGAACAGTATTGCCCCCAACCCCAACAGCTCATAACAGAAATTTAAACTGTGACTGAGCTCTGTGTGTCCTCGTCTCACAGGGGCTGTGACCCGCCGTGGCTGCGGAGCAAACACAACGGCCCGCTGCTCCAGAGGGGATGACGGCTGGGGGTATTCTCGGGTACTAACCTACGCAGCTGCTTCTCCTGACCCCATCCAGCAGGGATCGGGGGTCAGTCCTGGACAGACAGCCAGTCTTGCTCCACTGGAAAGCAACTTAGCTGAACTCCGTGTCAAAACTCTCCTTGGCTTAAACAGGTCAGGTGTCTTTGCTAGTTTTCTTGAATACTGACAGGATTTTGAACAGGGACGGGAAGGAAGAGAGATTAGAATACACTTTCCACTGAGAAATGGTGCCATTGAGACCAAATTTCATGATAGCATTTTCCTCGTAATTATTAATTCAGAGATCTTCAAAGCTATTTATAGTAATTGTCTTCTCTCTTGCATAGCTCATGTTACTGACCTGTGCAAAACTTTACACAACACTTCTGTATGTTAAGCCCGGGATTTCTGGGCTGGGCAAAGACAGCCAGCCCTGATGGAAAGACTTCTCGTGAAAAACAGTCTACCTCTCTGCATTTCACATCTTAATAAGAAATTACCCAGGATTAACCTCACTTGCCAGTGGAGACATCGCTACAGATGAAGCAGATGCAGAGATGGTGATTTGATTTTACTTTTCCAGAACTTTGAAGCAAATGCAAAGTGGACAATTTAATGGTCTGCATAACATAAAGACATGTATATCCATCCCTCCACTCCGCAATTGAAAAACAGGAAGCTCAGACTGGTCATGTGGGATTTACCTGGGAATGAACTAGGCTTTCCAAACACAGCTAGGTCCTAGTTCAGCCTGTTCACCCAGTGAAATACAGCAGGGAAGGAAAGGGGGAAGAGCTCCTCAGCTTCTGACACCGGCTGCCCTCCGCAAGGCCTGTTTGACTACGGGAGAGTCCAGTTTGACTGGTAGCAGACACAACTTGTCTTGCCTCCCATTCCCAGCAAGGTTTGCCCCTCCTCACTAGTCATGTGCCCTGTGTTAAGGGAGGTCCGGTACCCACAGGAGCAGGGACTTGTGCCCACGGAAAGGTAGCAAGGAGCCATCTCCGTGTAGCAGTCCCTCCCAGGAGTCTCTTGGGGCAGCCCTTGCTGACTGCCCCACATTCAGGCCACTGAGCAAAGACCAAGTTACTCTTGGGAAAAACTCTATTTACAGCCTCACCGACCAAAGCCTACACACTTCCATGAGTAGCCGGGACCGCTGACAGACCCTGTCCTACAAGTCCCTCTCTCCCAAAAGGTGGTACGCCATGATTAGCGTAACAACAGTCACCGTCTGCAATTGTCTCATTGCAAAGGAGTAAATTTCTTAACATTTTCACTGGCAGTCTTTTATTGGTATTATTCCTCCTTAGAACTTCAAATGTTGCAAAGAAGTCAAATATAGACACTAAAAATACTATCTTGCTAATACAGTTTAGGGAAAAGAAGAAATAGATCACTCAGAAAAGGCCAGGCTAATAGCCTTAGCAAAGTTAGAGTAAAGAAGTGGTTAAGGATCTAGATGATTTAATCCAGTTTTAAGAAAAGGTTTTACAGTGAGCAATTAGATGCTGTTTAAGGAATTAATCACTAATGGGTCATTAACTCTGACTGCTATTGTACAGTTAACAAGCCGAGGCAGGATTATTAGACTCAGCACCCAATTAAGAAGGAGAAGATATTTACAACAAAATGAACAAATGAGCTTTTAAAACGGAATGGGACAGTTTGAAAGGAAGTGTAGGAACAGAGAAAACTAGACAGGGCACAAGAAAGATATGAGCGTGCATATGCCTGTGTCCCTTTATTTGTTTGAAAAATATTGACCTGTCTGTGCCCACTTATGTTTAGCTGGTTAAAATAATTATTTTTAGCAATAAACTTGTAGCTTTCCTTGAAGGACATGACTGCACACAGTTTATCCATTACAGGGTTCACATGTACAATGTATAACAAAAGACCTGCTTAATATGTCAATAAAAGAACAATCACCATAGCTTGACATAATCTTTCATTTTTTGCTTGCAGGTGTTGGATCAGGAGCTTAATAAAAGCGAACAGGTGTCTTCAGCTGCTGTTTCTGCTGTCCTGTCATCGTGGTGTTACCTACTGTTAGTCTTCGACCATCTCAAGTAACCAGCGCTGATCAGAAAGGCAGGGAGGTCTTCCCAGTGGCTTTACAGGATGCAGAATAACTGGAGGCAACAGGGAGGGGGGGTAGTAGTGTCAAAATGTGGGAGAGCACCACTGAAATCTTGGGGAGTCGCTTGTTAATCATGAGCAATAAGCACAGGTAAGAGCTTTTGGGCAACAGTTAAATGCGCTCACATGCAGGAGGGTTTTCAGCATCAGAGCCCCAGCTGGACTGCAGCCAAGTAATGACAAGTGGGATTGTTCCTACCCCCGAGGAGGAAGAGTGTGCAGAGCTGTGCAGGCATTTGTTAGTGTGCGTCCGTTACCGACGCAGCCCAGGGTGTGCAAGCACACCAAGAGACATCCTTCCCTCGTAGCCACCAGAGATGTGCCGCCTTGCAAGCCCAGCCTCCTTGGTGATGCAAACACAGCTCACCTGTGAAAGGAGAGCTGCACTAAGACCTAAAAACTGAAGCGATACAGTTCTTGTTCTCCTCCCCTCCCCGCAGAAGTTTACTCAGGCCTCCTTACTAGAACAGCACTTTCTTTTCCTGACAGCACGGCACTTTCTTTGCCAAGGAAGCAAAGAAAGAGCTGTGTGCTGGGGAGGCTGGGCACCACCCCAGACACACACACACAGAGTGGCACTGCAGGTCCAGAGCCCAACAGGAGGGTCTGGCCCAAGCAGGGCTACGTCCCCCCTGAATTCAGCAGGGACCGCTCACTGGGCCCCCCTGCACCCCCCCGGACCAGCACAGCCCAGGGAAGGGAAGCCTGGGTGCCTGGGCACAGCATGTGCTCTGGTCCAGAGGGGCAGGTTGGACCTGCAGGGAGGCTGGGGAAGAGAGGAAAAAGCATTTCAAAATAGAAGGATTCCTATTATTATCTGTAAAAGGAGCTCTCCAGACAATAGATGGGGGCTGCTGTGGAGAAGGCTGTGAAGGGATGTTTAGAAACTGCTGTCTAAGGTTAAAAAGCTCTCTGAAGTGAAGCTGAACAAAGCTGACATACTTGTTTCTGACAGGACTCTTAAAAGATACGCACAGATTGTGAAAATATAATTAGACGCCAGCCTTTGTCTGGCCACAACGAGTGGGAAATGGTGAAAGGAGAGGTCTCCCAGTCCGCATTGAATCATCCCCAGGACACAATGAGGGCGCTTGTGCATCCTTCTCTCTTCCCTAATGAGAAACGTTAATTGCCACAACCTCCAGAGTGTGTACACCACCCCGTGCCCAGCGGAGGAGAAGGCGTGTTTCATTACAGCTTCTCAGCCCCATTACAGGCAGTAACGGAGATAATAGAAAATAAAGATGCCGCAGTTTTAGTTTCGGCAGCTTGGCGTTAGGCACTGGGTGGGCGGGGGAGCGAGCGTGGCCCAGCGCCGTGCCAGCCTCCAGGGGCTGCACTGGGCAGCCACACCGGGCAGGAAGCACCCAGCGGGCCCCCACCGACAGCTCCAGCCACCCAGCTGGGCAACCAGTGCCCCATCAGCTACCGCCCATCTCCCCCCGTGGGCAGCTGGGCTGCGGGGGCATGGGGCCCTGCAACACCTGCTGATCCCCTTCTCTGAGGAGGCAGCAAGGCCCAGGGGACTGGCACCGACCCCGGCCCGCTGGGGCAGGGGTGGGCAAAGCCCATCTGAATGCAGGGCTGCCCCACAAGGGTAGCTGCGGGAGTGCTGCACCTGGCCCACGGACTGCCAGGGCCCCGGCCCCTCCTTGCCGAGCCAGGAGACCCTGGCCTGGTGCGCTCCCCACTGTGGGGCTGCAGCCCCCAGTGCTCACAGCCAGTTTAAGCAGGGCCCTGCTGCTGGAGGGGGAGGGAGGAGGGCCCACGGCCAAGCCTGTCCCACCCCTCTGCACATCACAGGCAGCGGAGGGTTCGGCCCGAGCAGCCCGCTTGCCTGCAGAAACACGATGCACAGCCTTCGCGCCAGTCACGCCATTTAATGGTGCAAAACCAGAAAACCCTCCCCAGGTAACGCAGGCCTCAGTTCCCAGCCACCTTACACAGCTCTTCGCCCTACTGCAGCTTTTATTGCAACTAAAGCATTCAGCCAAGGAGGGAGAGCAAAAGAGATTTTTTTCCTAAGCTATGATCAGGCCCCTAACTCTGCAGGGCATGTGGAAAAGGGAATTAAAAGGACCACAAAATACAAAGCAAGTCAGGGCGTGGGGGAAAGGCTGGTGTGAGGGACAGCCCTCCCTTGCGTGGCTGTCCGTGGGGGCCGGAGCAGGACAAGGGGGGCCCTTGGTCGCCCCAGGACCAGCCTTCCCCGTGGGTTTCTCCCAGGTGCTGAAGAGGGAGTTCAGATTGTCTGCCAGGGTTTGCCGATGGACTGGATGTGCTCCTTGGCCTTCATCCTCAAGGCGGCAATGCTGGTGTTGCGTGGGTCTGCCTCATCCAAGGGGAACTTGTCCACAAAGGTGGCCCCGCACTGGTAAGGCGGCGGTGGCCCCATGGCCCCCAGGGGCTGCAGCGCATGGGTCACTGCCGGAGAGTTCAGGAAGGGCGGTGGCGTGTAGCTGCCGGGCAGGCTCTGCGGCGAGGCCACGAAGCCAGGCAGGGTCTGCAGGGCCGTGCTGCTGGGCACAGGCGGGCTGAGCCACGTCTCCAGAGGCAGGTTGCTGCTGAGAGGACCCATGGGTGTCGCCTGCGGTGAGCGGTTGAAGGAGAGGATGGGTGAGTCCTGCAGCTTCATAGAGGTCACCTCCAGCTTCTCCTGCCGCCGCCACTTGGCCCGTCTGTTCTGAAACCACACCTGCAAGCACAGCCGCGTTAGCCGGGCCGGGGGCGGCACGGCAGCGCTGCCGCCCCCGCGGAGGGCAGAGGCTCTCCCCTGGGCGCAGCGGCGCACACGGAACGGAGCCAGCGGAAAACAACGGAGCAGCAGACGG